CAGATCACAATGCAGCCTTCAATAATGAGCAACACCCATACTGTATAGTAAACAACTACAGATCACATTACAGCCGTCAATGATGAGCAACACCCATACTGTATAGTAAACAACTACAGATCACAATACAGCCTTCAATGATGAGCAACACCCATACTGTATAGTAAACAACCACAGATCACATTACAGCCTTCAATGATGAGCAACACCCATACTGTATAGTAAACAACTACAGATCACAATACAGCCTTCAATGATAAGCAACACCCATACTGTATAGTAAGCTTTAATGGGTCCATTAATAGCAAAAAGGGAAACAATTCAAAAAGGAACAACTCACGCCCTGACTTTAGTGCATATCTATTTAAATTATTTTAAATGTTCGTTGTTAACAACAGCACCAAGTGTTTCCATACACTTTTCTACTTGATTTATATACCACACAGCTTTTCGAAAGTAACATCTACCAATAATGCATATTGAATTAGTACCTGAATTATAATATCATGAAACAAACGAATATTCCTGTTGTAACTATGGATTTGCTCAATAGTCGTAAAGTCGATAAAATCTACAGTAATGTATTTTTTCTGAATTAAAATGTCTGCTTTTGCTAGAGTTTTCTTCATTGATTTTGGTTTCATATAATTTTACCAATACGTTTCTCAGTTAACAAGAGACTTAAGTATATTTCAACTGTCTTTTTTTTTTCATTTGAAGTTGTTCAATGTTGAATCAATCCAATTTCCAGTCTTTTCAAATGTAGCATTATAATGGGGTACTACGAATATGTTTTTTAAACCCATCAATTTAAACAAGTTAATTGACACATGAGTTATTTTAATATTAAAAATAAAGTATAATACATGAACCATCCCCGTTTTCTGTATTGTTATAACTATGATTATGATTATTATTTTCTTATGATTATTATTATTTGCATATATGTCTCTCTGTTTAGTTATGCCAGAAACATATACTTCATGTATTATATGTAACTTGTTATGATAATCAGATTATCGGTGACTTTATTGTTGAGGGTCGTTAGGTGACATACAATAATAGTTTTTCTCATCTATGTTCTTTGGTCTCTTTAAAGAATTGGTGTTTCATTGGCAATCATGCCATAACTCCTTTTTTTTTAAGTTGTTGAAATCTGTGTAGATCTTGAACAAACGTTTAGTATTGTTCTTTGCAGTGGTGTATAAACTAGAGTTTCAAAGAATAGCTAAAAGAACATTGATGAGCGTTGGTAAAAGCAGAAGTACAATTTTGCCATTTTTCATATACTGGTACATTCGTAGTAGAATATAATAAAATAACTGATGTTAATTTAAACATTGAACTGTATGTTATTGCCTGTAAAAGTAACGTCACGTGCACATAGGTTATTGTCACTCACAGTTTTCACAAATTATGATCGATTATAAATGTCTTCATATTTATGTCTGCAAATTGTCTGCTTATAAGGAATGTTAGGGGTTAATTAATAAAAAAGGATTTCCAAAGCTGTAACTCATGGAGAGGTTTTTTTCGAGGATTAACTTTCAAAAGCTTTGCTAATGGATCAAACAAAGGAAGCATCTACTCATGTGAAAACAGCAGCATGGCGTCAAACGTGTGCGTCAAATTTCCGTCAAAGTAGCAACCAAATGCGCTCCTCCCTAAAGCAACCGTGCATATTGGAGACGCGAGTACTTCATTGCTACAGTATCATCAGTTAGTGTCACTGAATTAGAATATCTTTTGACCATTTCAAATCTATGATTGTTGAGTGTCATACGGTGAAAGCCCCTAGCAATGTGATCATTTAAAAGAATTTTAAAGCAGGAGAAAACTAACTTGTTCTTGATAGTGAAATGATTAGTTTCTGCTTCCCTGTGTAGCATTGTCTTAAAGTTAAGACGTAGCTGATTCTCGTCGTTTAACAGTGAGGTAGAATCCACTTCAAGTTTAAGGCAGAGTTGATTTTAGTCCTTAAGCGAATTTAAATTTTGAAATTGAGTGTTTCACGCTTCGATTTTTACATTGTAACTGGCATATTAACATCGCCAGTAAAATATCACATGAAAAACGTGAAAAATAAAACTGCTAGTTGCATAATTTCAAAGTCGACATATTTAACTGTAAAGTATCATTACATTTGGTAATGATGGACATTGAGTTGATAGGGGGCAATGAAAATTATTGCATGATTCAGGACAATACATAAAATATAAAGGCAATTTTGCAGTACTGACAGTACTGTAGTTGGTATCTAAAAGTTGATTTCGCATTGTTTTCTGTGATACAGATCAAAAAGACCTTAAATATATTTAGCTGAAAAATGAAGAACGTTGAACAAATACTCTCCCAACATCATATGTACAACTCTCCCTACATTACATTCACAGTTCTCTCTACATCACATTCACAGCTCTCCCTACAACGCATTTACAGCTCTCCTTACATTACATTCACAGCTCTCCCTATATCACATTCACAGCTCTCCCTATATCACATTTACAGCTCTCCCTACATCATATTATTATAGCTCTCTCTACATTACATTCACAGCTCTCCCTACATAACATTCACAGCTCTCCCTACATTACATTCACAGCTCTCCCTATATCACATTCACAGCTCTCCCTATCACATTTACAGCTCTCCCTACATCACATTTATAGATCTCTCTACATTAAATTCACATCTCTCCCTATATCAAATTTACAGCTCTCCCTACATTGCATTTACAGCTCTCCCTAGATCACATTTACAGCTCTCCCTACATCGCATTTTCATCTCTCCCTATATCACATTTACAGCTCTCTCTACATCATATTTACAGCTCCCTCTAGATCACATTTACAGCTCTCCCTATATCATATTTACAGCTCTCTCTCTACATTACATTCACAGCTCTCCCTACATAACATTTACAGCTCTCCCTATATCACACTTACAGCTCTCCCTACATCATATTTACAGCTCTCCCTATATCACATTTACAGCTCTCCCTACATCATATTTTCAGCTCTCCCTATATCACATTTACAGCTCTCCCTATATCACATTTTCAGCTCTCCATACATCCTTTTTTCAGCTCTCCCTACATCACATTCACAACTCTCTCTAGATTACATTTACAGCTCTCCCTATATCACATTTACAGCTCTCCCTATATCATATTTACAGCTCTCTCTCTAAATTACATTCACAGCTCTCACTACATTACATTTACAGCTCTCCCTATATCACATTTACAGCTCTCCCTATATCACATTTACAGTTCTCCCTACATCATATTTTCAGCTCTTCTTATATCCCATTTACAGCTCTCCCTACATTGTATTTACAGCTCTCCCTATATCACATTTACAGAGGTATTTTTGCTAGATTCGAAAGATTCTTTTTTGCTATTAATATTTGTAATGTGATCTGATCCATTTTAGAAGAAAAAAATTGAGTTGATTTCCTTATATCTAGTTATGCTTTTTTAATTGTTTTGGTTTTTTTTTCTTTTTTGTTGCTTTTAATGTTATTTAGATGGGTTATAAATAGAAGTCAAAATGTAAGGATTTTGCTGTAACATTGGCAATCTTTTTATGTGTATTTTATTTATACTCATTATACACATTGTAACACATGTTTGATTTCTGAATACAATATTTTAATATTGGTTCGAACTGTTGTAATGGCTGAAATAATTGTTGAGTTATTTATTGAGTGAGCCCCGAGCTCATCTTGGTTTAAATTATTTAATTTAATTGCATGATTTTATCTTTGGTCAATATTTATATCGGAAATACTGTGATTAATCTAGCTTTTTAATTTTTCTATTATGAATTAATCCAAGGAGACCCACGGACATCCTTTTTAGTTGTTTTGATAATCCACAACCTTTATTATTTTAAGGCTTAACCGATATCATTGTAGAATCTTCTTACCTTTTTTTATATTAAACAATTTTGCGACGAGAAACCGGGACCGCGCAACACCCTCTGGATCTGCCACTCAAACCCTTATTTTATTGACAAGATAAAAGTAACAATGAATAAGAACAAAAGTGTAAATAAAAGTAAATATAAATGAATAAAAAATCATGGACCATCAGACTGCTTATGACGTCTTTACTTGATCCGTTAAGTTATGTTGATTACATTTTAGTCCGGGAAAGCATGCATGGTCTTTTTATTGATATCATCTTTAAACTAGCTTTAAATAACTGCGAATAGCCTTAGTCGAAGTCTTTGTGTAATTGGTCATTCAGTTACTGGTTGATGATTTAATCCCTCTATCCTTTTTGAATTGATTTTATAGTTTGTGTTTATGTTATGCTGTTACAGTAAAACACACTCATCAAAAGTTGTGTATAGGGTGGAGCGTCCTAGGCGTGGAGAATATATAGTCCAGTGTTTGTTTGTGGTGTCTTGTCTGTTATATTTGTTTTTCGGTAATTGTTTTAGATTAACTTAGACCGTTTGTTTTCTCTTTTGAATTTACAATTATTTCACATTATTCATGCTTAGTCTGGTTTGGTGTTAGAATAACCTACATACAAACAGGTCGCATCGTGGAGAAAGATGGTCCATATTAAAAACAAAATAGTGAAACTTCGATCTTTTATTGGATTTTTTTTTCACAAAGCCTAGTTATATTATGCAGAAATGTTTTACAAAAAAGTTATAATTTTGCATAATATATTTTTTATGAAATTTAAAAGAAATCTATATACCCGGTATATGTCATTATTGAAATGACATTTTTGTTCGGCTTATTCGTGAAACTTTAAAGTATATTTCTCATTTATGATGTGACACTATCCAATATCCAATATTTTGCACTTTAGATTACTCAAAATTTAAGCGTTTTAAAAGTGTATTTAACCCTATCGGACTGATTATCGCGCAATTTTACACAATTTAAGACAATAACATAAAACAGTGACACTATGCATGGAATAGAATATAACTATATATGTGCTGTTTTACACTTAAATTGTTTTTTGTTTATTTCAGGAAATAAGTTGTAATTGTGGAGGTAAAAGTGATGGTTCTCAGTCGGAATCATGTTGGTACACCTTCTGGTATATATGGTAAGTAACTATCATATAATCATGTTGGTTCACCTTCTGGTATATATGGTAAGTAACTATCATATAATCATGTTGGTTCACCTTCTGGTATATATGGTAAGTAACTATCACATAATCATGTTGGTTCACCTTCTGGTATATATGGTAAGTAACTATCATATAATCATGTTGGTTCACCTTCTGGTATATATGGTAAGTAACTATCATATAATCATGTTGGTACACCTTCTGGTATATATGGTAAGTAACTATCATATAATCATGTTGGTACACCTTCTGGTATATATGGTAAGTAACTATCATATAATCATGTTGGTTCACCTTCTGGTATATATGGTAAGTAACTATCACATAATCATGTTGGTTCACCTTCTGGTATATATGGTAAGTAACTATCATATAATCATGTTGGTACACCTTCTGGTATATATGGTAAGTAACTATCATATAATCATGTTGGTACACCTTCTGGTATATATGGTAAGTAACTATCACATAATCATGTTGGTTCACCTTCTGGTATATATGGTAAGTAACTATCATATAATCATGTTGGTACACCTTCTGGTATATATGGTAAGTAACTATCATATAATCATGTTGGTACACCTTCTGGTATATATGGTAAGTAACTATCATATAATCATGTTGGTACACCTTCTGGTATATATGGTAAGTAACTATCATATAATCATGTTGGTACACCTTCTGGTATATATGGTAAGTAACTATCATATAATCATGTTGGTACACCTTCTGGTATATATGGTAAGTAACTATCACATAATCATGTTGGTACACCTTCTGGTATATATGGTAAGTAACTATCATATAATCATGTTGGTTCATATTCTTGTATATATGGTAAGTGGCTATAAGGAATTGTATATGAATATGGCAAAATGATATATGTAGCTTTCATATTTTCAAGCAAATTACATATTCGAAAAATAGAAGTACTACAGTATAGAATATGCGTAAAAGTTCAGCAATTGTAACATTGAACTATCTAATCTCGAAACCCTGCCCTTCGAAGTTTCTTTAAGAGTGAGTATTATGCTATTACCACTGGAATTGCCGTTTAATTGATATAAAATTGAGGTGTTTCCGAATAAGTTTATTGAGTATAGATCCTAGCATCGGAAAAAGCACCGAAAAGGCAACAGTACAGCATAACGTCGTGACTGAATTGTGCATTTAAATCTTATTTTTTTTTAAACAAAAAGACATTTGTTACTACCAAACTGTGTGACTTACTTGAACATATTTGAATTTCGAAGAAGTATTTCTCACCTAAGTATCAATATATAGTTTGCAACATCTTCACACGATGTAAGCATATTACGGTTGATTCGCTTCTCAAACACCAGTGTCGTTTATATTGGCTTTCTAAAGAAAGCATACTCACTATATATCATAATCCCTGCTTTTTATGGAAGTTTGTTACCAAGAGTACTAGTTTTTTTTATACGCGGCGCTGTTTGTATATGTTTGTTCGTGTTTATCACTCCCGGACCCCAGGCTCAATGCTTTTGTTCTGTCTCGTTTGTATATTGTCACATTGACCTAATTTTAGAATTTCACTTGTCAGATAGATTGGGTGTCCCTCCATCTTAGATTGTAAAATAGCAGACCACAATCGGTCTAGATCTTTAATGAAATATGCAAAATGCGTTTAATTTTGATGACTTTTCATTTAAATTCAGAAAAATATGTTGTTTATCTTAGAAAAACTAATATTATAACAAATACAGAAAGGAGTAGGCCCAGTAAGACCCCATTTTGGCCCCAAGATATAGCAGTTTTACAAAATTGTTAAAATGTAAATTTTTAGCTGTTTATTGGAAAGAAGAATACTTCTGTTACATAAATATGGGCTTTTTTTGACAATACAATGCACAAGTATCGGGTACTAGCATCATTAAGTCATGCAAATTACTGAAATCTTCGAAATTTTAGCATTTTGGTAAATTTTTAGACGGTTTCCGTCTGAAATGGAAGTGGCCGCATTTGTGTTCATTCTTAATATTCAAATGTAAGTTGTATTTGATGATAATACATAACATAAATAAAGGTTGAGAATGAACACGGATGCGGCCACTTTCATTTTTGACAAAAACCATCTGAAAAGTGACATATTATGGCATATTTGATAGATTTTTCATATTTAAGCTTGAATTTGAGCGTCTTTAATGACTTAATCAGTTCAAATCTTTCACATAAACTAATTGAATCGACTGAAGTAGACACTTAAGTGTTTAAAAAGTGTCCAAAATCTTTCATCAGATGAACCTGAATTTTGAGGCCAAAATCGGCCCTTACCGGACCTACTCCTTTTATTGTTTGATTCCATTTTTTTTAACTAAGCCATATGAGACATGATAACTTAGATATGTTAATTTCATTATGGAATTTACATTAAAACTGTCTATTTTGTTTTGTAGCAGGTAAATGAGTATAGTGCACATGATAAGCATATATCTTCTCATACAGTAAAATGTTAACGTTTGGTCTCTTTTTATTCACACAAAAGTTGATTTTCCTTGTATAATCTTTGCAAAATTGGTCTTTTTTGACAACCTCTATCTTGAAAAAATCTCCGCGACCCATACTTTTTATTTTATTTTGAAAAAAAAGCACCGGATGTAAACAACAGTTTTGCAAATCTTTCAAACATTCTATCGTTTTTAGATCACCTTGCCCAAAGGGCCAAGTAAGTTTTTCTCATTACTTGGCGTCCGTCGTCCGTCATCGTCCGTTAACTTTTACAAAAATCTTCTCCTCTGAAACTACCAGGCCAAATTTAACTAAACTTGGCCACAATCATCATTGGGGTATCTACATGTAGTTTTAAAAATGTGTTCGGTGATCACGCCTACCAACCGACATGGCTAAAAATAGAACATAGGGGTAAAATTCAAGTTTTGCCGATTATCTTGAAAACCGATATGAATAGAGAAAATCTGACGGGGTAGAAATGTGTAGAAAGTTGAGATCTACCCATTGTTCATTTACATCGAAACTTTCAGCCGACTTCCTTTAGGAGTTATTGCCCTTAAATTACGAAATTAATCATTTCTTTTTCCTTTTTGTCTATTATCTTGAAAACTATAATAGATAGAAAGACTTTTTAAATCGCAAAAATCATCAACAAGACAGGTTCTACAAATATGTCATTATAGCCGAAATTTACTGACGATTCTTTATTGGAGTTATTGCCCTGTGATGACGATTTTTACCATTTTTTGAGTTTTTGGCTTATATCTTAAAGACTATGATAGAAAGAATAAAACTTTAACAAGCAAATATGATCAGCAAGACAAGACATACAAATAAGTCCACATGGCTGAAATTGTCCGACGATTTCTTATTGGAGTTATTGCTCTTTAATGATGATTTTTACCAATTTTTAGTGTTTTTGCCTATTATCTTGAAAATTATGATAAATAGAGAGACACTTTGTATGGCGGCAAAAATGATAAGCAAGACAAGATCAACAAATATGTCAGCGCGGCCGTAATCGTCCGACATTTCCTTATTGGATTTATTGCTTTTTAATGACGATTTTTACCATTTTATTGCGTTTTTGGCTTTAATCTTAAAAAGTATAATAGTTAGAAAAAAAATTGAATAAGCGAAAATTATCAGCAAGACAAGATCTCCAAATAAGTCAGCATTGCTGAAATAGTCAGTCGACTCTTTATTATAGTTCTTGCTATTATTATTAATGACAATTTTTGCATTTTTGCGTTGTAGACTCTTTATGATTGCCCTTGAATGGCGATTTTTTTTTTACCCTTTTTTCTGTTTTGGGCAAAAACTAAAGAAGATAGAGAGAAACTGTTAGCTAAATTATCAGCGATACAAGATCAACAAAAAAGAGATTTTTCTAACGAATTCTGTTTTAGTCCACAATGTTGGAGAGTGTCCATTGTTGAAGATGCACACAGAGCTAAGTGAGCGACACATGCTATTTATAGCCTCTATTTTATGAAGACCCTAACCACGCTCCCCCATTCAACCTTAATCAAGTGTTCCGAATCTTCTTGCTTGATGGTCCGTTTCTAGTTTGTCTATCTTTTCACAGAAGCTAGCGTGAATCGATTACAAGATATTATAATCTAGAACAATCAAATATCTTCTTTATGTATATAGATTATTTACAGTTAAACCATAGTATATGAAAATAGCATTTGCTCCAGTTCGTGATTTATTAACTTTAATCATAATAAAGTAGTACTTTTGAAATATATCGGACTTATCAGGATACATTTGGGATTTGTTTCCAACAACACATTGATCCAATGTAAATAATATATGAACTGAAATGTTTCATTTAAATCCAATGCTTCACTTAAATTAGGATTGCTCATACTTGATTACATAGTGAATCAACTTATTACACTAAGGCTTAACATACTGACTTATATTCTCGAAACTTTAAGTATACTCATGACCATAAGAAATATTTCGTTGAAAATTCAAGATACAATGCAGCTTATCCTCAATATTGATATATTTCAGAATTCCATATGTCATATCACTAACTTTACTTTACAATGTGATACGTTTTAAAATTCATAGAAAGTGACAAAGTACGTCAAAAATCAGTTTTAGATTTATGTATAATTACCAAGATTTTGTACGTAATCATTTTTGTTTTCATTCACAGGGTGGCGTTAGCTTTATTTGTAGCTGTTTTAATTACAATAATGGTATTCTATTACAAACACAAATCTCGACATCGGACACGAGTACGAAGATTGTCAGGTATGTGGACCCAAATATTCGAAAGAGAAGACATGTAATATTTAACATCAACACTATCAGAAAATACTCGGACATTCGTTATTATAAATTTGCACTAAGATTAAGCTGTATTCAGAGATGTATTTTCAAAATTACCAGTATAAATTTATGTTTGGAAAGAAAAGTATCCGAATCTACTACAATGGAAAAATCTAGAGGATACTGCACCTCAAAACGGACATTTGTACAAAAACACAATATTGAAAATTCATGAAAACATTTTTCTCATTTGAAGGACAAAAGTGAGGCCAATGATACTTAAGTGTTAAGACGGGTATCATTTATTTTAGTTGCTTTGAGTACTAACGACTATAATATTCCACCATTTTCTACATAAGGAAATGCCTGTACCAAGTCAGGAATATTACAGTTGTTTTCCATTCGTTTGACGTGTTTGAGCTTTGATTTTGCCATTTGACAAGGGACTTTCCGTTTTGAATTTTCCTTGGAGTTCGGTATTTTTTCCTCTACTTCCGAATCACAAAAGTTAAGAATTACTACAATTTACAGTTTTAATGCAAAGTATTTTTTTATTTGCTTTATTGTTATCTTTTCCCTTAAATAGGATATTATAAAACGTTGCACTATTGTAAAAACCCTAGCATTTATTGATAAAATCAATATTCCCAAAAGCACTGTGGAGATGATTTTTATCTGTGGAGATAGTATCACATAACCAATAAAACAGAAAATAATATTATTCACATTAAAATGTAAATATTAAAACAAAACCCAATTTATCATACAATGCAATGATATAAAAGCTTAACAAATATGCAATGAATTCTTCTTTGGAATTAAATCCAAAAATCGATCACTTTCAAATTTGAAGTTAAATTTGATATTTGTTCAGCAATATTTAAGCTATTAATTTACAGTTTGTGTCTTGTGCCGGCTGATATTATTTCTATACTTTAGTAATGTACACTTAGAGCTCTTCAAATTTTAAATACAAATTATGATTATAAATAGATCACAAATGTTAAATGGGTTTTGTCTCGGTCTATTTGAGTCTCTTTGTCTTGTAGGAACATACTTTTCAGACACGTTTACCCAATACTTATTTAAAAAGCTTCAATAAAGTCTAAACAAACTGTTCCCTGCTAAGCAAACTAATATTTCAATTTTAGTCGATCTTCAGAACAGTACCTGTATTATAAACCATACTGTGATCTTATTAAAAGAACCAAAGTGTTTAGAAAACCAAAAGATACTGTCCCCAATTTCCTTTTGGGTATGTGTTACATGTTTTCACATACTTTTTGGCTTCCCAAACTGTTGACTAAGAGCGAGACAGGAATATTAAAATGCAGTAACATAAAATATCCAAAACAATTTTAATAACATTTGAAGACTGAAATTTAACATAGACATTATACAATAATTTTTAAAATCGGGGCTACTAATAAGTTGACATGGATTGACATAACTGTATAATCAAGACCTTATCTTGACCTCTATATGTATTTTTTTTTCTTTTATAATGTTGGATGCTTTTGTAATTAGTACTGCTTATGACTATTTGCAAACTTTTTGCAGTGGGCTGATATTATTACCAGATGATTCGTTGAAGTTCTGAATACAAATTGATGTGTTTTAAAAGAACAATTGCAATCTGCGATGCAAAAGCCTCTCAGATATAGATATATATATATAGCATTGTAATACTTTAGTATAAATACCAACATTTATTGTATTGAATATATGAATTTTTTGGGCAAAATTTCACTTTACAACCCACCCACATAAAAACAAGGAGATGTGATATGATTGTCAATGAGACAACTATCCACCAGAGTTTAAATTGCGATTATAGGTCATCGAACGGCCTTCAACTATAAGAAAAAACCATTACATATAGTCAGCAATAAAAGGCCCCGAGGTTAAAAATGTGAAGCAATTCAAACAAGAAATACACATTTTGACTTTACTCGTTTGACTACAAACATAGTATAATATATCTATCGCGTTCATTGACTTGAATGTTCCTACTAAGTCAAAATTCATCTCACATGCATGGATCTAATATACATTTTGTAATACTATTTTACTAAAATATGTCGTAATGCGTACGAAAATAGTTACCTTTCAATTAAAACTTGGAACAAAAATAAATAACATTATCAGTTTGGCTAAAGTTTATAAAAACGGTTTTTGAAATAGAACCGATCGATATCAATTAGAGCTTGATTAGGTTAATGTAATATCAATCTTCCATCATCTATTAATAATTCAAAACACTAATGGATTTCCATTTATAAGTTCACGTAGTTTTCATTTAATCTCGAACGTCCTGAACAAAGGTTACTGTCAAATGCTAATGTTTTGTTCACTAAAATTGACATCAATGTCGGTACCAAAGCCTACTAATCAGTAATTCAGTGCTGTGACGATTGACACTCTCGGTACCACCGATCCATCCCTTAACCAGTGATTCAGTGCTGACATTATTGACACTGTCGGTACTAACGATCCATCCCTTTACCCCTTAACCAGAGATTCAGTGCTGACATGATTGACATTGTCAGTACTAACGATCCATCCCTTAACCAGTGATTCAGTGCTGACATGATTGACACTGTCGGTACCACCGATCAACCCTTTAACCAGTGATTCAGTGCTGACATGATTGACACTGTCGGTACTACCGATCCATCCCTTAACCAGTGATTCAGTGCTGACAGGATTGGCACTGTCAGTATTACCAGTCCCTTAACCAGTGATTCAGTGCTGACATGCTTGACACTGTCAGTACAACCGATCCCTTAACCAGTGATTCAGTGCTGACAGGATTGGCACTGTCAGTATTACCAGTCCCTTAACCAGTGATTCAGTGCTGACATGCTTGCCACTGTCAGTACAACCGGTCTATTAACCAGTGATTCAGTTCTGACAAGATTGGCACTGTCGGTACTACCGATCCATCCATTTACCAGTGATTCAGTGCTGACAAGATTGACACCGTCGGAAGCACCGGTTCCTTAGCCAGTTATTCAGTGCTATGACGATTACCACTGTCAGTACCACCGGTCCCTTAACCAGTAGTCCAGTTCTGACATGATTGACACTGTCATTACTAGGAAAATATAAAATTTATTTGTACTCGCTACGAAACAGAAGAAAATCTCGGCGAGCCTCGCTTTTCGTCCTGTTTCTAAAGCTCATACAAATAAATTTTATATTTTCCGACAATGCACATATATTGTATATATATCAGCACAAGTAAATAAAAAATTAAGAAGATTAATAGATGCCAAACAGAAATAAAAATAGAGTAAAACAGTAAGCAGCGTCCAATGCAGGTTATGACAAGCATTTGTAAATTATTGTCCAAACTGTCACAGAGGATAAATACATGTAATTAAATAAATCGAGATTGTGAAATCCAGTTATTTTTCCAAGATTATGATAATTAATCCGTGTAAAAACACTCATGTCTAGTAATAAAATATGATATGAAATATATGTCAAAGATGAAAATAGAAGAAAACAATTGAAATAATAAATGTTGATAAAAACTAATTTCACAAATCCAACTCCTAACATTCCGGTCATAGTATTATCGACCTTAATATCACTGAATAAGTGCAGACATGATTGGCACTGTCGGTATCATCGGCCTACTAACCAGTGATTTAGGGCAGACATGATTGGCACTGTCGGTATCATCGTCTTACTAACCAGTGATTCAGGGCAGACATGATTGGCACTGTCGGTATCATCGTCTTACTAACCAGTGATTCAGGGCAGACATGATTGGCACTGTCGGTATTACTAGCCCACTAATCATTAATTCAATGCAATCATGATTGGCACTGTTAGTATCAATAGCCCATTTATCAGTGATTCAATGTAATCATGATTGGCATTATCAGTATCACTATCCCACTAATCAGTTATTCAATGCAATTATGATTGACACTGTCAGTATCACTAGCCAACTATTCATTGATTCAATGCAATCACGGTTGGTACTGTCAGTATCATCAGCCCACTGATCAGTGATTCAGTGAAGACATGATTGGAACTGTCCGTATTACCCGCATGCTAACCAGTGATTCAGTGCTGACATGATTGGCACTGTCAGTATCACTGGTCCACTAACTAGTGATTCAGTGCTGACATGATTGGCACTGTCAGTATCACTAGCCCACTAGTGACTCAATGCAATCATGATTGACGCTGTCGGTATCATCGACCCACTAATCAGTGATTCAATGCAATCATGATTGGTACTGTCGGTATCACTAGCCCTATGATCAGTGATTCAATGCAATCATGATTAGCACTGTCGGTATCACTAGCCCACTGATCAGTGATTCAATGCAATCATGATTGACACTGTTGGTATCACTAAACCAATTATCAGTGATTCAATGCAATCATGATTGGCACTGTCAGTATCATCGACCCACTAATCAGTGATTCAGTGCAGACATGATAGGCGCTGTCCGTATTACCCGCCTGCTAACCAGTGATTCATTGCTGACATGATTAGCACTGTCAGTATCACTAGCTCACTAACTAGTGATTCAGTGCTGACATGATTAGCACTGTCAGTATCACTAGCCGACTAACTAGTGATTCAATGCAATCATGATTGGCACTGTCGGTATCATCGGCCCACTAATCGGTAATTCAATGCAATCATGATTGGCACTGTCGGTAGCATCGACCTACTCATCAGTGATTCAGTGCAGACATGATTGGCACTGTCTGTATTACCCGCCTGCTAACCAGTGATTCAGTGCTGACATGATTGGCACTGTCGGTATCATCGGCTATAAAAGGCCCCGAGATGACAAATGTAAAGCAGTTCAAACGAGAAAACTAACGGCATGATTTATGTACAAAACAATGAACGAAAAACAAATATGATATACAACAACAAACGACGACCACTGAATACCAGTAACCTAGTTTCAAAGATACAAAAAATGATAATGATGCTTTATTGTCATATAAATATATAATTGTTTGTGACAAAGAATAAAACAACATACAACAAAGAAATAAAAGAAATGGCATTTCAACTGATAATAAATGAACACATGAATAATTAAGCGACATCTTATCTCAGTTCTAATAACTGTTTTAAAATGGAGACAATTATCTTAATATGTTAAATAGTAGAAAGATTCAGCATTTCTTTGATTTTTTTCACCTTAATAAAAGAACTTGCACTATTAAAATTCATGATTGGCAATTTTGTATGTTTCAATTTACGAATTTGCGATATTTGCACTAACAATTTTCGAGCTTACATGTTTGAATTAAGGCGCTCAATATTTACAGACTTCCACACTTACAAATGTATACAGAATTGATTCCTTCTTTACTGTTTTCAACAGTCAGTAATTTTCTTTCAAACAATTTGATCAAGCGTACAAGAAAGAGTAGTTTCAGAAGCAAATCGTATACACTTACTAACGTATAATAGTTGATTGCTACACTGTAAAAGTCGTGCTTAGAAATTAAACACTTGTATTACATGTTTAGATCTAAACGTGTTTAGGATTGTGTTTAATTTTTAAACATATTTCTCAGTAAGCACATAATATCTAAAAAGGTCTTGAATTTAAACACTTTTAATGTGTTTAAAAATGAAAGTGTTTAGAAATTAAACATTTTTTTCTAAGCTAAACACGATTCTAAACACAATCCTAAACACATTGTACTGAGACACGTTTAGATCTAAACATGTAAAAAAAAAAGTGCACAAAAGATGTGCTTAGAAATGTGTTTAGGATCTAAACACCATTTTTACAGTGTAGGCTGAAAATGTTGAAAATAGATTTTCCTCGACAAAATAAAAAGGGGAAAAAGCTTTGTAAATGAGTGAACATTCCTATTGAGCTTTATTGATATTTAATAAATCATTTTCTTTTATTTACAGCTGCTAGACCACAGAATCCACCACCTTATTCCGTCCCTAGTCAACTACCACCTTCATATGATGATGCTATTAAAGATAGTCTTCCCGTTCCACCGGGTTATGTAACAGATTACAGATTAATAAGTCGTAAGTGGAATTAACTGAAAGGTTAACTTTTGGCAAACATGGCCTTGAATTTCAACTTTATCATGAAATATCACAAAGACCACAATTTTGTTCTAAAACGGATCCATTTCAAAAGTATTAATGTTATGTAAAACAATTCTCTTCATACATGATAGTAAATTATAGGCTCAAAAGACAGCACATTTTGTAGAAGTTGTCAATATATGATGATTGTGTGCATTTTTGGGACCTGAAAGGTTTGCAACCTACGATCCGTTCTACAACCATAATGTGCCAATGTTTATATTGAATTCCTAGAAACAAAATGTACTGGATCAGGGATGGCAGCCATAGTTAATTAAGCGAAAAACTGTCATAAATTAGGGAAACACTGGACCAAAACTGACCTTACAACACAAATAATGCATAATTAATGGGTCATAACTGCATAATGTATAATGTGAGGTGCCAAAAAGAACTTGCGTTTTGACCTGATTAAAAAAACATCAAAATCGTAGAGGTAATTTTAGCGCTTATTGAATATACTCTTTTCTTCCGAAAAAAATGTCGTTTTAGACAAAATATTTTATATTGCGGTCATAAAGAAATAAAGAAATAAATCAATTTGATCTACGTTTGATAAAACTGATTTTAAAATATGTTCCTTGTTTGACGTCAGGTCCTAAAGTGTGTCATATGATGTGTCTTCAAAAACCAGACCCTTGATCCTGAATATTCTTAATTCCTTTCGTATATTATATTATATGTTTAAATATATGCTGATTTTGTTTTTGTAGAATATCATAATAATCGAGGACAAAGTGATGTCAGTACAATATCATATCCTCCATCATATATAGAAGGTCCAGTACAGCAACCCCCGCGACAACAACTGACCAGTCAACAACGACCCACACGGAATTCAGTTAACCCTCCCAGGCAACAACCACCTCCGCCAAGGAACCAAGTTCCGCCCCAAAGCCAGCAAGTTCATACAGGACGAGTTCAGGTTCAGTCTCAAAGACAACATGTCCCAACAGGAGTAACACAGCCACAACAACCCATTCCTAGGTGATTTGACGGTTTGTCACTTCGGTCAGGGATTGAAACAGATTTTAAAATGAAACAACGAGGACTTATGTTATGACGCCTGCTGACCATTGCATTTCTGTGATAGAACTTAAAGTATTTAATTTTTTAATGATTGAAAGTATTTAATTGTTCAATAATTATCAATAAAAATTTTATAAATTGTTGATTATGGAAGTCTTTTTTTTAAAAAAAGCTTATTGTAAAAATAATTATGTGAAATTCGTGCATTTTAATCAATCAGAGTTAAGTTATGTATATATACAATGTAGAAGAACAACCCACCAACTTTGGAACATTAGTTAATGCTATGTGGACATTGGACTAAAACACATTGCCTTATTATACAATTGGCGATTTGTAGATACAATTGCCATGTTATGCATAGATAAGTAGCATTTCTTATTATCGAAATAATTCACTTGGTTTTTTTTCTATTTTTTTATTTTTTTTTTATTGTGTTGAGTGTAATCAAATATGTTTTCAAATCGTTTTTTTATTTATTACGTTATTCAGTTGATATTCGAATGTAACTATTTAATTAAGTTTATTAAACCTGTCTTTTGATTTCTGTGTAGTATTATAAACGTGATTTTTTTTATGCGATGGTCTTGAAACTGTTGGACCATTTAAGGTCGTACTTATTTTGATTTTATTTAAATCTTTCGATTGCATTTAAGTTAGATAGTGAATTATGGACAAACAGAAAGTATTATTTTTAGAGACATGTATTTTGTTTTATATAAATGTGTTTCTTTAACTAGTCATTTTCTCTTTTCCCATTCATATCTAGTTTTAAAAACAAAAACTCATCAAAGATACCAGACTTATAATTTGGTACGCCAGACGCGTATTATTGTATCAAAATGTCAATGATTTCAAAAAAAGTGTCTTTGAAATTATCTTCACGCGAAATAATGCTAACCAGTAGAAATATCTCAAATTCGCCGCTTCAGAATCAAGAGGACTCTGGGTAATTTCATTGCGTGAAAATAACGTCACGTCATTAGATGAATTTCCTTTGTTTAATGCTATTTTAACCAATCACAACATTTTGGTGTACGCATTCGGAAATATTACGAAAAGTGCATTAGATTCTGTAACGGCTAATTAATGAGTATCTTTCTGATACGTATTTTTTAGATTTTTTTTTTTGCTGCAATATTTGTAAATATAAGAATGTTAAGAAAAGATGTGAAAACATAAGGTCAAATGATCTTTATAACTTTTAAACATTACGGAGCCTAAAATATATGTTCTTGAAAAAAGCAACCTTACGTAGTCAAGGTTTTTGATCTCGCATCCTTTAAAAAGTGTATCCATTTTCATGTTTCCCCAACATCATATTGATTGAAGTATAAAATTAAAGATATATACTCTGTGATACTTTTATTGTTAAAGTTTTTTTTATGGTATAGTTTATGTAACTTTTACATTTATGAAAGTTTTTGCACGTTAAGCGTTACATTAAATGGTGAAGTGAAATGCTTTAGAAGGTGTACTTAAAGTACATTGTAGCGCAGTTCAGTTTTATCGTTTTATTGTAAGATTATTATCTACGATGCATTTATTCGTTAATAATTGTTGATTCATTTTCTTGTTGATTTTCATATATTTGTGAAGAACAAAGATATTTTTCTATTAAAGTTTACAAAAATCCTTATTTGCATTTTTTTTTCTGGGAATTTTTGTTGAGTGTATTGGACAAATCTGTGCAGGTAAAACATCTTACTATTTTGAACTTCGTATCACCAAAGTAGATTGTTCATTTGGTAAGAAATTTTATCAAATGCTAGAGGAAAACTACAACAAGCCATCAAAGTGAAAGAAAAAATATATCCTCTTAAAATTCTATAGATTTACAACATGTCTCTCAATTGAGGTTTTCAATTACTATTCCGTTGGTTGGTTAATCTATTAGACCAAGTCCTTAGATTGATTGTTGGTTGCTTAACGTCCAGTGGCAAATATTTCATGCATATTCAGGACGACCAAGTCCTTAGATCACTCCAAATATTCGATGCGCAAGTTGCAGGCATTTGTTGATACACGATGAAATATATGTGGTCTAGAGCGCTGGACATGAGGCTAAGCGATTGGTGCTGTAGTGTATCAAAGGTGTGAGTTCGAATCCCGTTGAGGGACAAAAATTTGTCAGCATAAAAGTCTAATTCTAACACTGTTGGGCGTAATTTTCAGACTTATATATATATATATATAATTCGTCTAAATAACAGCCCAACAATGTTAGATCTGTAAATTTGCGGAAGTAAATTTTTTGTTTTTCCCTGGTCGGGATTCGAACTCATGCTACTGAGATATCGTTGCACCAAATCGCCTTGCACTATGCCCGGCGCGCTAGACCGCTCGACCACCTAGGCTCGACAAAAACCAAGCTGTCGGTGGCCGGGTGTTACCTTTCCTCGTCAGTTTTTATCTAGCGTCGTAACACAGTAACTGATATATAAGGCATGAAGATGGAATATTACAGATCAGCTAAATTATCTATCGTAGAGAATCTTACAAATTAATGTAGGATACAGTCACAGAAATAATTATATTATAAGTACGTCTGAACCAGTGACAAATCTACGACAGATTTTATCCATTGGATCACCAGTGATGGTGATACAAGGCTGAAAACACATTCTGTATATATAATTCGTCTAAATAACACCCCAACAATGTTAGATCTGTAAATTTGCGGAAGCAAATTTTTTGTTCTTCCCTGGCCGGGATTCGAACTCATGCTACTGAGATATCGTGGCATATATATATATATAAGTACGTCTGAACCAGTGACAACTCTACAACAGATTTATCCATCGGATCACCAGCAGTGTTGGTGATACATGGCTGTGTACATTTTGTATATACAACTGGTCTAAACATCAGCCCAACAATGTTAGATTTATATATATATATTATATATCTTTATTCTCATCACCAAATACATAGGTACAGAGAAGACATGTTAAATACATTACATTAAATACATAAACATAAATATACAATATATACAACAATAGCAAAAACAAAAACAATTTATTCAGGAGGACACACTCGCTTGTTTATAATTCTTATAAACTAACATAAATCTATGAGATATGTCCTATTTGTTGAAGACATATGATAATTTCAGTATAAAAAAGTATAATATTTGGCCTTCTATTTAAATTTTTGTTTTATAAATTCATTTCTCTCTTCTATAAAATGTGAACAATTTATAATGTAATGGAATGGATCCCCAATGTGAATAAATTACACTTTCTATTTTCCCTTTCTATATTGAACCCATTCCAAGTTCAACTGGAAGTTTATGGTTACATATTCTAAATTTACATATCGCGAACAACGTTTTGGTCTAGAATATTTAGATATTCTTAAAAAAAAAAAAATCTTAAAAATACGGTTATTCAAGGCTTTCGAACAGTTTTGAATAGTCTCATTTCATGTATGTTTGAATTGATCACACAATCTTGCTTTGATATTACATTTCAACCATATATCATTTAAAAACTACTGTGTTTTTCATGTTTAAGAAAATCCACATTCATCAAAAATAGTTACGTCTAACAAATTTTAACCATTTAAAATCTATGTTTTTGGTACAATACAAGTGGTACAGTAGTTTATATATAATGCAAGAATACTTTGACTGTTTTCCCATAGTTTATTTCTTTAGTGGAAAACGTCCTAGCTCACCGTATATAATACAGTTGTGAGTGGAACATTTCAGATTCAGTTACTGAAGCCCCATATTTCTGATCCATATAACAGACCAGGTTTGGTTACTCTATCAAAAAGATTTAACTGACAAGAAACTGATAGGCCATGAAATGTTCCCTTTTTAAGTATCTCATACATGGCTTTTGTCCCTTTTTCAACTTGTGATTTAATTGTCTTTTTATAATTTCCTGTTTTGTCAATAAAATACCTAAATAGCTAAACTCGAACGATTTCTATCTCTTAATTATCTAAAACAAAGTGAAAATTGTCTGGTAATCTTCCATATGAAAAACATAATATTTTGGTTTTGGATACATAAACTTTAAATTCCAGTATTTACAGTATTCATGAAAAATATCTAACTGTCTTTAAAGATCATGTAGTGTTTCGGACATCAAAACAGTATCATCTGCATATAATGATAAAAAGATTTTGATAGATACATCTATTTCTTCTGTAACTGTGAAAAGGCCTTTAATTACAATTATTCGTGTGTAAAAAAAAAATTTCCAAAACATTTAAAAATACTGCAACCAAAAAAGGGGCATGTTTTCCTCTTGCCTTACCCCATTACTACACGGAAAATAATCAGACTTGCTGTTGTTAAAAATAAAATTTGATTTTATATTATTATACATATTTTGTATCTCATTTAACATTTTCCCATTTACTAGTATATTGTTTATAACAGTAACTTATGCCAAAGTCCATCCCATTAAAATTTTAAATTGTATTGGTATCTATATATTATATAAATCCATATGACTGCTGCGGATTGAAATTTTAACAATGAAAGCTCAGTGTCTTTCTGCTATTCCTTCATCTTTAAAATCACACATTCCTTGTAATCCTACAAACAAAGTACAATATTAAAAAAATCAATGTGCATTTCAGACGAAGTAATTCCGAGTTTCAAAAACTTAGCTCTTTCGGCAGTGTACATTTTCTGTAACTGTGTACATTTGCACTAAAAATAAAGTTGAATTATCTTTCAAGATACGGAACATTAGATTTCTTTTTTGATATAAAGAAACTTTTTGCCCCTTTACCAGTAGTCAAGCTTTTTCTCTCTGTTTTCCTTGATATTACTCGCTGTTCTTGTAAAGCGTCATTCATTATACAACAACTTTTTTGCCGTTTTTTTCTGTCAGATGATACAGTAGCAGCTTCACCAGTACGTGAGGAGTCTAGGGCTAGGATAGTCAGTGAGTCTAGGGCTAGGATAGTCAGTGTGTCAATATGTACAGTGTAATATTTTTATTATTTGTCTAATTTATTTCAATGTACGGCTGAACTTTTTGATTATTTATGGCAAATTTAATTGTGAAAAGATGTTTGTAGATGATTAAAAGGGTGTTGTTACATACTATCTGCAAGTAATTAGTACTGACATTCACATGTCAAGGATTTTCGATTCAGTCCCATCCATCTTGGAATCTGGAGTGATCACATAATGCAGCACTGACCATATAGATTTATTTGTAGATCTTTTCTTGCTGTTAAAAACGTTTTTGCAGTCAACAGTTTCTCTCTATATCCACCATGGCAGAAACATAAAATAGCCGACTATAAATATATAGTTTTTAGATGAAAAGGCAAAATGCAAAATCATTTTAAAAGTCGTCATTGAAGAGCGATAAATTCCTAAGGATTTGTCTGACAGTTTTGATAAAAATGATCTTAACACAGTTTCTATCTATTATAATTTTCAAGCTTATAATTCAAACCCCCTTGAAATGGGTACAAATTATCATTTTATGACAATAAATCCAATAAATCCTATAAAAAGTTGCCAGACCATTTCATCTGTTTTAACTAATTTGTAGATCTTTTATTCCTGTTCAAAATATAAAAACTGTATGCGTCAGAAGTGCTTTTTTGTGTTAACCTTCATCAGGAACGCTCAAAGACAAAAATTTGAAAGCCAGGGTTGTTTGAGCATCGAAACACACGTAGAACTTTATTTTCTTTGTATAGACAAAATGGCAAAACATTGGTAAAAAATCATCAATTACGACGTATATAAGGGCAATTATTTCTATTTTGAGTCGACTGACTATTTCGGTCAATTATTCTTTTTTGTAGATCTTATTTTTTCTGTTTTAAAGTTTGTATCTACTATTGTTTTATCCCCCCAAAAAGTATAAAAATTGAAAGTCAATAACTCTTATGAAGAGTCATCTGATGATTTGTCAATGTTGACTTTTTAATAGATTTTGTCTAGCTTTTTTCCTGTTTAAAGTTTCTCTCTATCTTACATTGTTTTTTTATGATTATAGCCAAAAAAAAAAAAAAAAAAGGTAAAAATCCTCAATTACTCGACATATAATGAGTCAACTGACCATTTTGGTCGTGTAGAATAAAAGTAAGCAGATGTGGTATTATTGCTCATGAGGCAACTATCCACTAAAGGACATGGATGTAGACATCAAATCCCACCATACGGTCTTCAACAACGAGCATAGCACATACAGTCTAGTTTACTATTAAAGAGCATGGCATGAAAAATGTTGAATACCAACAGCCTGATTTATGCTAAAACAATAAAAATAAAAATAAATATGACAGGAAGTAACCAACTACAACCACTGAATTACGGACAGGCAAATACATAATTTGGAGGGTTAAACATGTTTGTCAGTGTTCAACCCGCTCCTAAATTGGGACAATGGCGTAACAGTCAAATGTTACAAAAGAACAATCTGCAAGAATTAGTTGAAAATGAGCTCGACATATGAGATCGGCACAAAAACAACAAGTACCGATAAAAAGTACTCACAGCTACTCATGTTTATTCATATTCAGATCTTTTCTTGCTGATCATTTTTGCAATGAAAAATTTCTATCTATTATAGTTTTTAAAATAATATCCAGAAACACAACTAGAGGTTCTAATAATACCCAGAAACACAACTAGAGGTTCTAATAATATCCAGAAACACAACTAGAGGTTCTAATAATATCCAGAAACACAACTAGAGGTTCTAATAATATCCAGAAACACAACTAGAGGTTCTAATAATAGACAGAAACACACAACTATAGGCTATAATGAGCCTGTGTCGCTCACCTAGTTCAATATGCATCTTCAACAATTGTCACCTCCAACATTGTAGACTAGAATATAATTCATGACTATAAGCTCTTTTCTGTTGATTTTGTGTTGCTGATAATATTTTTTTTATTAGGAAAAGCGCAAAAAGTTGGTAAACATCGTCATTCAAAGACAATAACTATATTAAGGAGTTGACTGACGATTTCGACCATATGATAGTAACTAATTTGTAGAGCTTGTCTTGCTGATCATTTTTTTGCGGTTTCATGTTTCTATCTGTTTATTTTAGCGTTTGAGATCATAGACAATAAACTGCTTCGCTGAGCGCAGCTGGATACGCCCGCAGAGGTCCAACCCTGAACAGTTGGGGCAAAAGTGGACACAATATTCAAGCTTGATACAGGTCTGAATTTGGATTGTAATTAAATATTTGACATATTATAGGTTTCCAAATAAATATAGTCAAAGAACTTGAAATTGGTTATATGAATTGAATTTATATTCAATTAAAGATTTCTTGCTGTTGTGCAATACACTGTGATGTTGCGCAATACTTAGTAAATCTGTTGTCAGACTATAAACAAATAAAATTTAAAAAATTTAAAGGGAGCTTACATCAACAGATATAAACAATTCACCAAAGTTTCATAAGAATTGCTGAAAGCATTTTTGAGTTATTGTCCGAAAACTGGAAAATCCCCCCTTTTTTAATAAATAAAACCCCATAACTCGGAAATGTAAAATCTAAAATTTATAAAATTCTAAAGGGAGCTTACATCAATAGATATCAACAATTCATCAAGTTTCATGAGAACTGCTGAAAGTATTTTTTAGTTATTGTCCAAAAACTGGAAAATCCCCCTTTTTTTAGCTCACCGGGGCCCTTCGTGAGCTTATGCCATCACTTGGCGTCCGTCGTCGTCTGTCGTCGTAAACTATTTCAAAAATCTTCTCCTCTGAAACTACTTGGCCAAATACCTTCAAACTTTAACTAAATGTTCCTTAGGGTATCTTGTTTATAAATTGTATCCGAAGTTTGTATCCATCGACAAACATGGCCGCCATGGCTAAAAATAGAACACAAGAGTCAAATGCAGTTTTTGGCTTATATCTCAAAAACTAAATCTTTTAGAGCAAATGTGACGGGGTAAAATTGTTTCATTGGTCAAGATCTATTGGCCCTGAAATTTTCAGACGAATCGAACAACCCATTGTTGGGTTGATGCTACCGAATTGGTAGTTTGAACAAAATTTTGCAGTTTTTTGTTATTATTTTGAATATTATTATAGATATATATAAACTGTAAGCAGCAATAATGTTCAGCAAAGTAAGATCTTCAAAAAAGTTAATATGACCATAATTGTCAATTGACCCCTTAAGGAGTTATTGCCCTTTAAAGACAATTTTACACAATTTGTTCATCAAGTTTGCTAACATTTAAAAATCTTCTCCTCTGAAACTACTGGGCCAATTACCTTCAAACTTTAACTAAATGTTCCTTAGGGTATCTTGTTTATAATTTGTATCCGAAGTTTGTATCCATCGACAAACATGGCCGCCATGGCTAAAAATAGAACATAAGGGTAAAATGCAGTTTTTGGCTTATATCTCAAAAACTAAATCTTTTAGAGCAAATGTGACATGGGGTAAAATTGTTTAATTGGTCAAGATCTATCGGCCCTAAAATTATCAGACGAATCGAACAACCCATTGTTGGGTTGCTGCCAACGAATTGGTAGTTTTAACAAAATTTTGCAGTTTTTTGTTATTATTTTGAATATTATTATAGATATATGTAAACTGTAAGCAGCAATAATGTTCAGCAAAGTAAGATCTACAAAAAAGTTAATATGACCAAAATTGTCAATTGACCCCTTAAGGAGTTATTGCCCTTTAAAGACAATTTTACACAATTTGTTCATCAAGTTTGCTAACATTTAAAAATCTTCTCCTCTGAAATACAGGTGAGTGATTCAGGCTCTTGAGAGCCTCTTGTTATGAATAAAACCCTGTAAATCCGAAACGTAAAATCTAAATTTTATAAAAATCCAAAGGGAGCTCATGTCAATAGATATAAACAATTAACCAAAATTTCATGCAAGTTGGTGAAAGCATTCTTGAGTTATTGTCCAAAAACAGGAAACCCTCCCTTTTTTTAATGATTAAAACCCCATAACTCGGAAACGTAAAATCTAAAATTTATAAAAAATGAAAGGAAGCTCACGTCAATAGATATAAACAATTCATCAAAGTTTTATGCAAATTGGTTAATTGAGTTAATGTCCAACATGTTGACGACGGACGGACCGACAGACGGACAACGGTATACCATAATACGTCCCGTAAACGGGCGTATAAAAACAGAAAAATTTGACAATCTGAACATTTTTTATCAGTGGTTTCAGGAGAGATTTTGAAAAAACAACAGGCTACCATTGATGATGGAGCCAGAAGCCAAGTGTCCGATGGAAATAAATCAAATGGATATCTTTAAATGCAACTTTAGGTATTGGTCACAAAAATGAAAAATAAATATTGGAAGTAAAAATTGTATAGTGTAAACTAAACACAACATTAATATAGTAGCAATATCTATAATTTAGGCTGCAATAAGTTTGTATTGTAAGCTTTTGAAAGCTTTGCCTAATGGCAGAATGGCCACTTGCAAATCCAATAAATTATATTCACCTTTTCAGGACATATCCTCCACTATTATACTAATTATTTTTACCAGGTAGAACGAAATCCAAAACCAGCTTAAAAGTATGGTGATGTTGGGCAGGCGGGGAAAAGTGGGTATCTTATCTGTGTAATCGACTCCTCCCAACAGTTTTCAATTCAGATCCATGAAACTTCACAAAAAGATTGCACTTATGTTTGAGTTGTGCACCCACTATTATGGAATTATTTGAGGATTTTTTTCACATATTTCCGGACTTCGGAACTTAGTCATTTTTCAGTAAAATATATGAAAGAGGGTAAAAGTTTTGTGTAATTAACTCCTCCTACAGTTTTCAAGCCAGATCCCTGAAACTTGGAAAATTGCAGGTATGTCGAAGTTGTGCATTTGCTATTATGGAATTGTTTGAGGAATTTGTTCTCTTTTTTTCCAGACTGGGGAACTTTTTCAGAAAAAATTTGGTCACAAATATTGCAACCCTGCAATTTGAGACTTTGATCAATCTTTAGATATACAATGTATTATTTATTGGAAATATCAAAATTTAAAAGAAAAGCCAACAGGGTCAAGTTCAAGTTTTACTGAAGGTATTATGAACTTTGTTTTTTTTTTAAATCACAAAATCATCTTTTGAGATTTTATCACAATGTAAGGAATACATCTATGGATGTAACAAAGTCCTTGGTGACTTATAGTCTATCAGCAAAGAATCAAAATGATATATCACAATTTGCATTTAAAGAATAGGCTTTATCAGGAAGGTTCTTTTTTCAAAATTTTGGAAGGCAAAAGGCAAAGGAACAGTTTCGCAATCTTGAACAGGAAAAAGGTTGCAAGAAGCGACACAATGATTCTGACAATATCCAAACAATTCCCCTTTTCAAACCTGCAACAAATGTAAATCCATGACAAGCAGACTGTTGATTAGAAGAATATAATTTGAAGACCCAAGTCTTTTTACATTATATATTTTTTTTCAAAAGTCATTGATGAAAGCTACCAAAGTTAAACCATAAGGAAATTTCAAACATTTAAAAAAAAAATTAAACCACATTTCTTATAAATTTATGACATAAAGTGGACATGTTTAATGAGTGAGAGTAATAACTGGTGTAGCCATTATGACCTGGTGGCCTAAAAAGAAATAGTTATAATATAAAGCATTTTTATTCATAAAAACAATTTGTGTATAATTTGGGGAACATTCAAGTTCTCAAGAGCTTGTATTGATCACCAGATTCATGTGATTTCACATAGTGTTCAACAGAGATTTAGAAGTAATATAAAATCTGACCGATATAAATCCTAAATTGCTTCTTGCAAAACAGGTTTTCAAACATTTGAATTGTTTTGTAAGGGACTTTTAATACACTATTCCTGCAAACTGTGGTCCAAATTTTCATTTAAATTTAGAAAATATGATGAAATGCTCTAGACTTCAAGGGGAACCTACAAGACATCCAAAAATATCGTTGCTGTTCTCAATTCTCAATCCTAATATGAATTCATGTTTCAAAATAGAATAGCTTTTTTCCAATGGTAACTATATACCTTCACTGACCCTTTTCAGTATTTAGTAAACAAAATCCTTTGTTAAGATGTCCATTGATACTTTTTAAAACAGTTTACATACTAGTAATGGTTTCAATAAAAAAAAAAGTGTGTCAGTAAAATAAAGATTTGCCTCTTATTTTATACATTCACCCATAATGAATTTTTGTTGAGACATTTCCTTTAATTGCTCCATCCAAATTTACTTTAAAAAAAAGAATGCTTAAAAGTTTATGGATGTTGAATGCCAGGTGATGAGAAAAGGTAACACCAGCTCTATGAGTCTCAGGTGAACTAAAAAGTGTTATTTGAATGTATAATGTTTTAACTGAAGTGGCTAGTAGCATTTCAGTTTTTAATCATGAAATACAAGACATCTTCGTGAGAGAAAAACACACAAAATAACATACACAGATGAAACACATGTAGATCTTTCAAATATTAATTTATAGAATAAGAATTGTATTTTTCTTAAATGTTTTAAAAGAACACATATCTTTTTATTGCAATATCTTTATCAAACAAAAAAGTATCTATTTACCCTGAAAAGATTTAAAACTGTAATAACTACAGAAATGTACCAGTTTAAGTATTCAATTTAATGTCACATAATTATGTAAGGTCTACACAAATTTAAAATATTAATAAAAAAATGTATATTTAGTAAACAAAAAAGTATCAAAGAAAATCATGTTGAATCACAATAATCATATAAAGATGCCAGTCAAAATTTAAAAAAATTTGTTCGATTTCATAATACAGGATCAACTGTCAAGTCCATCCAACTCATGGTTTAACAATCTACCTGAAAATAAATCAAATTAGTCTACTTAATCAATAAGTTCACTCAATCCATAAACATATAAAGTGAAATACTTTCATAATTTAAGCAAATATAACTAATTAATATTAATTCAGAACATAATATGTGCAGGTCAACTCACAATCAAACTACGAAAAAATAACATAAATGTTCTGTTGTATATTACTTATGTTTCAAATGAAATCTATTTTATATACTTAACAACACAAGAAAGCCGATGGTTGATTTTATCAAAGTATTCTGGATTTTTGTGTGCAGTAAATATATCTTACAAAATGTATCTTGTTTACAGAAAAATCACTATAGAAATTTTTTACAAAACAATTTTCTCCATTACAATTAAGGTTCAGAGCTTCAAAGAGAAGAACCTTTCGCTTTTTAAACCTATATAAATTACTAAAATAAGACCACAATATAATTTTACTAAAATAAGATAACAATATCATGTGTTTACCATTATGGTCACCACAGTTCATATGGCATACTAATTAAGGCCAAGGACAATGGTCAATTAAAGTCTTCACTAACAGTCACATTTGCTACTAAATATTCCAATGTGCCAAAAACCATCCTATCATATGATTTAACCAAAACCAACTTAAGGATACCAGAAATGACAAATAAAAAAAAGGACTAGATTTTTCTTTAATGTATTAGCTCTGGTTTGTACCTGTATTTTAGTTTTAAAAATATTTGTCTTTTAATAAGAACATCTTACTAGGTACCTGATGACCAGCATTATTTATTTTAGGTAAAAATGTGATTTATTATAAACTTACATATAATATATAGGTTAACTGTCAAATCCATAGGTGCCTTTCATTTCTGATACTTTATTAATATACTCCTTCTCTGCATCCTCCTTGGATTTACCTGAAATATTAGCAATAAAAAACAATGAACTAAATTATCAATCACTCAAGGGGATATTTAGTGAAAAATCTTGAATTAATCAAATTCAACATTTTTTTTTCCTTTGTGCTTTGGTTAAGGGCATACCATACAGATCTAACTAAAGGTACATGTGTACTGGAAGTTTTTGCCTTGAAAGACATTTGCTTTCATCAGTAAAGATATAACTTGATTATAAAACTAAGGTGATACTTTGAGGCAAAGGTTTTGAAGATAATGTATAATGTATAGTGTACTGATAGACATTAGTTGTCAAATATCATCAATTCAGTGATGAAGTCAAATTGTGAAATTTGCTCACAGGAAGTTCTTTAAACAAACAGGTACGTAAATGTATGATCTCATTGATTTAAATGATATTTTGCAACAACTGGCATGTGAAACTACATATGAATATCCAAATGAGATGCTGTCAAAATGACACCGTTCCTGGTATTTTATTTAACCTCTGCCCTCCCTTCCAGTGAATTAAATGGTTGCTCCCTTAGACTGCTTTGGCTTTACTGTTTCTTTCATTTGAATTGTTATCTGCTTTAAACTTTTGACTTCTTTGGATTTTCCAATCATTTACAGGGGCAGATCCAGGGTTTGAGGAAAAAAATTAAATATCAAAAATACCGAACTCCTAGGAAAATTCAAAACGGAAAGTCCCTTATCAAATGGCAAAATCAAAAGCTTAAACACATCAAACGAATAGAAAACAAGTCATATTCCTGACTTGTTACAGGAAAGGTGGAGTAAGTGTTTATAATGGTAAAAAAAAAAAACTCAGAGGTCGAACCCTGAACAGTTGGGGCAAGTATGGACACAACATTCAAGCTTGATACAGCTCTGAATTTGGATTGTGATTAAATTTTTGACACAGCATAGGTTTCTGACACAGAATGAATGTGGTCTAAGAACTTAAAAAATTTTAATTTACCTATTCAAACCATATCATTATTATTTGCTTTAATATATAAATCAGAAATAACCAACTTAAAACAGAAAAAAAAAAAAAAAAAAAAGGAAACCCCCCCCCCAAAATTTTTTGAATCCCCTTATGATTCATCACCCCCAAACTCAATCCCAGCCTTCCCTTTGTGGTATGGTACCTTGCAGTACAATTTCAGAGAGATCCATACACTTGAACACAAGTTATTGTCTGGAAACTAGAAAAATGCTTGTTTTTTGGCCCAAAATTCCTAAACGTTTAGGGCAATTACCCCAAACTCAATTCCAGCTTTCCCTTTGTGATATGGAACCTTGTAGTACAATTTCAGAAAGATCCATACACTTGCACACAAGTTATTGTCATGAAACTAGAAAAATGCATGTTTTTTGCCCCTTTTTTTGCCCCTAATTCCTAAAATTTTGAGGCAATTACCCCCAAAATCAATCCCAGCATTCCCTTTGTGATATGGAACCTTGTGGTACAATGTCAGAGAGATCCATACACTAACACACAAGTTATTGTCTGGAAGTTACAAAAATGCTTATTTTTGGCCCCTAATTCCTTAACTGTTGGTACCATAACCCCCAAAAATCAATCCCAGCATTCCTTTCGTGGTATTGAACCTTATGGTAAAATTTCATAGAGATCCATTCACTTAAACTAAAGTTATTGTGTGAAAACCAACGTGTCTTGGGACGAGGACGCCAACGTCATACCAATATACGACTGCATAAAAATGAAAATTGTCAGTAACAACATATTAAAATTTGAACAATACATGCAATATTGGTATAACAATTCCCAACTAATTAGATTGAAACAGATTTAAATGCCATTTCACAATCAATCGAGGACCATTACTCCTGAACAACATTTAGTGAAATTCATCAATATCAAATGTTGCCTCCATTTTGTCATCAGAAACATGGTTACTGCATGTTTTGGATCGGACCTTGTCCAAACTATTGTGAAACATTTTTGTGCATCTAATGATAGTAGTCATACATTGTAACTGTCACTATAATAACAATAATGTCAAATACCTTTTTGTTTTTCCCATGCATCCCATTTAGCCTTTCCTGTAAGATCTAACATTCCTGGTCTTGCTGTAATTGATAAATGTTAAATATAAAAATAGGAGTTTTATCATTTACCTATTATAAGGATTTTAGCACATTCATTGTTGAATGAACATGGGATAATTTCTCTATGAAATATTAGGAAATAAAACCAATCTATCAGCGGAACTAATTTGTATGTAGACAATTGACAGTTCCAATCAAAATTTGTCACCTATGATGAATTTAAGCAACTCAAAACTTTTTTTCGATTGCTAAGTACATTTGGGGTCAAATTACAGCAAAGTGCCAGCCAGATATGTACAATGTATTGATTTACAGATTATAGTATCTGAGATACAGAATTGACCACAAAAACTTGATCACTGATCCATGAAATGAGTTTGAGATCAGGTGGACCCTGTCTAAGGGACATGTAGATCTTGCAAGGATACTACATATACCAAATATAGTTATCCTATTACTCATAAGTGAGTATTTCCAACTACAAAAAAAAAAAAATTACACATTTTACAGGCAGTTGCTGAAACATGAAAATGAGGTCAAGGACAATGGACATATGTTAGACAGAAACTTTGTAGCATTAGGTATCTGCATACAAGCTACAAAGCATTCAGATCTTCTTCCCTCTGAAATACATGCATAAATCTTTATACAGTACTAGTAGTATACGCTGTCGCCACCAAATAGACTAATCATAGTATTAATCCAGTTTTGCATTCTTTGACTTTTGAAAACCAATAGAAAAATAACTTTGAGGACATTTTTAAGGTATATACATTTGTTAATTAATGTTAGATTTTCTATAATAAAATAGAATTACAAACATGTTTTATCAGTTGTAATACATTGTAAATTACCTGTATTAACATCCCCTACAGTTGTCTGTTTGAATAAGCTGTATATCATTAACATGTCATCATTACTAGGTTTGGTTTTCAAATTCTTCACTTCCTCTGCTGCTTTATTGAATTCCTGAAAAATTAAACTAAAAGTTTAAAACCGTATTTAAACTTTTTCAGGGAGTGTTAGACAAAGATGCAAGTTTATAAAAATTTTCTCTACAAAATGATTCTCCAAAGCGGAGGAGGACCGATATGGATTTAACATGCGAGGGCCAATATGGCTCTCCCATTGAAATTGCATTGGAAGCCCATATTGGCCCCAGTTCAGTTCAGTTATTTGTCCCGGGGAGAAATATGACTAGGCAAATATGCATTTATTACATGTACATATGCAAATCCCAATGTTTTTGTAACTAGTCACATTGTACCTGAATTTCCGAGAAAGCAGCGAAGCGCTAGTAAATGTAATGCATTGAAACTGTTATTATCTTTTATGAATTTCCTCATTTACAATATATAAATATATACATATATTGACATTCATATTTTTTTATATAAAACCTGAAGATTACTTATTTTTCTACTAACTTCCTCTTCCTTATACAATGCTATAAATGAGATTAAGATCTAGACCTGAAGGCATTGAAAATAAAAGAAAACACTCAATAAATGTAATAAATTAAAGAAAATTGTTTTAGTTTCAATATATCATATTTTTCACTTATTAAAACAACACAAAATTTTGAAAGAAATTGCATTAAAACTAACAAATGACAATGTCACCAATGATTTCAATTAAAGGTTAACAACTGAACTCGCATTACTTTGAAGATATCACATTTTGGAACAATCTTCATAAGGTATGCTTAAGGGTAAAGTTTGTAGACAACAATTTTTCTGGAATAATATTAATAAGATAAGCTCGAGGGAAAGTTTGCAGACGACACATTTCTGGAATAATCTACACCAGGTATATATACATGTACATGATGTACAAATGTATGCTTGAGGGAAAAGTTTGAAAATCCAACTTTGTGAACATCATTCAGAACAAAATTATTAATCTCATCCTCCATCAAACTAGACATTAAATAAAAAACACTCAATTCACCATCTGGTGATTAGACAGTCATGATGCACCGTCATAAAAGAATCCGCTTCCGATCATCCAAAATCATGTTCTCTCCCATGCATGTTCGCCCCTGCACAATTGTCGTCAAACTGATATGTACAAATGTAATCTAATACTAATGCATCTTCAAACAAAATGTCAATGATCTATCACAAGCAGTTCCCATCAAACTGACTTAAGCAGAAAACTTAACAATTGTTGACCCCGTCGCTGGAAAAGCAATCCCTACGTTTTGCTTTCCCTGACTTTCGTCACAGGCGAGACAAAAACAGCACTAAAATGTTTAGAGTATCTACTTTTTAAATTTAAAAGAGCACTAAAATATTTAAATAAAACCCTGATACATCTCAATACACCATTTACACACCAATACTATCTAATATGCACTAATATAAACAGTTTATTTAAGAATTAATGTAATAAATTCAAATAACAGTCATAATTGTTATCAAAGTTCAAAGTCCACTGTGGCGGAAAATCGTCTTCTGGTTTGGCTGATGCTCCATTCAGTCTTCATCAAACCACCCCCCAAAAAAATATTTCATTTTGAAATTCCAAAATTTTTATTAATGAAAATATAAATATTTTGATTTATACATATAAAAAAAATCTAATAATTCAATCATTACTTGAATTAAAATAGGGTGCGAAGGTGTGGGTGTGAACATGTATGGTGAGAACGTGTATTGGGAGCGAACAGACCCGATACCGTCATAAAACAGGTCATGATTATGGAGTAGTCCAAATAATTACACATCTTGAAAGGCTATTTTAAATTTTTGCTGCCACACCCAAACCTTTCTTGATTTCCTTCAGAACACTTTTTTCATGGCCAAAATATGATGAGTCCCTTGACTCACCTTCAAAAATACTTAGTGAGAACTACGCATTCTGTACACTTTGACTATATCTACGGCAGTTGCTGGGCGCGGCATCACCCTTAAAATTGACACCGTTTTCAAGCCTTGTTCAAAAATCATTGTTGCTCAAGTACAATAATAATTGATACTCACCGCTGACATTTTTCCTAGCTGAACGTTTTTGTGCGTTTTTCACTTCAGGTTATCAGGTTCGGTTTAAAATAATCAATATAGGGCACGCGTTTTCGTTACCAAAGTCCACACACACAAGCCGGATATTGTCAAGGACATATAATATTACATCAAGTTCGGACAGAATTTGTACAGCCTGCGGATTCTACATGTATAAATGCATGTAATGCAATGCGGCTCAAAATTGGTATAATGACTGAGTCATATCCTAGTTGCGCAGACTTTAGACTTTACCTGAAGTAAATCAAATTCATTCAAACAAATGTAATCAATAACTGATATATTGCAGTTACTAGAGACATATGACGTTTCTAATAATCCTAATACACCTATTTTGATTTTCAACGGAAAAAAACACTTTTTGTGAAGAAAATGATAAACTTCTGGGAGTTACTATAGATTCGGGCTTAAACTTAAAGTCATGTACCTGAAATAGGGAAAAAGGCTTCAAGACTATTATTTTAAATATTCTAAAACGAATGGGCAAATATTTAAAAATGGTAGGCCTGTTAACCCTTTGAGCGCCGAGACGTTGTTTTTTCACCTTGTTACGTTGCCATACATATTTCAATGACGTTACTATAAACGATACGTAACGTAACGTCAACACATTACCTACAAGCACATGCACGTTATCCTCACTAATCGATTAATTGGACATCTCATACATTCGAGGAAATTTCCAACATCCTTAGCACAGGCACTTGTCTCAGAAAAAAAATATTAAGGTATATAGGAATTTTTTTTTTCTGAGACAAGTGCCTGTGATCCTTAGGACTAACCTTTAAACTTGAGTAAACGTAGCGAACCTAGCTTATATTCAGTGATTTTTTTTTTAATTTTTGGGTTGGAAATCGAAATTATCTTATTTCATTCCTATTTCTTTTTCTAGAATACTATAAAAAAAAAAACCCGACAATATGGAATAAATGAAGGTTTTTATAATATGATGAATTTTACAAACAATAAAGATATATTGAAGAAAATATAGCTCAATTGCTGTATTTTGATATAAAGGATCATGCAAGATTTGATATCATCGAGGGATTCAAAATACGAGCAGTGTTCTCAGTTTCTTCATAGTTGGTGCGGGTCTGTTTTTTTCTAAAGCACCGTCGATGAAGAGTCCGACTTAACACTTTGCACATCACCACAAAAATCGGGATACTAATATACAGCATTGCAATGATTTAACTATCAAAGTCTTAACTGATTGAGCAATAAATCGAATGACAACTACGTTCAGCGGCAAATATTTCATGAATATTCAAAACAATAACTTATCCTTTTTCTGATAATGTATAATCTGAAATAAGTTTAATTTAACATTACAGTTGTGTGACTTATCCTTCATTTTGATTTGCTGATTTGGTTTTGAGGAATGTCACTTGTATGACTAAACCAATAGTAGTGAACTTTTAGCATCAATTATGCTTCTTTTTCTAAAAAGCCTAACCTGATCTTTTTTTTTGGTATTCAAGTCAATATTTTACATGTCAATGGCATGCGAAGTTCCATTAATTTCGCTAAATCTATATTTTTTATGCAACATTTGATGTCTAAATTTGATGTTTATCTGTGGTTCAAACTGTCTTGACCATTTTATGGAGTAAGCCGATTTTTACAGATAATATTTTAAAAGTGCTATGAACACACTTATAGGTACAGATTTAAGAAGTCATTTGCTGTGTTAAATACATCTCCGACTTAAATCAGTTTTGTCATTAAATGAGGCCTGTCGATAAAATTATTTTCTATTTCTTGTTGCGATCATTGACATCGAAAATCTGATATAAATCCCTTTTTTATTGGTGTGATTTAGGCAGATGATGATGAGAAGAAACTATCTAATCGCAGAGACACACTTTTTAGCAAGAGTTCATTTAGAATTTCGGTAAAATCGACACGGCCCCAAATTCGGTAACTATTTTCTTTCATTTCTTCCTACTTTAAGATATGTAATATATATTTTTCAAAACTATTACATGGTAAGTTTGAAGTATGAAATTAAAGAGGTAAACTTTGGTACCAATAGTTCACCCAATCAGTAATTACGGACGACGTACTTTCCTTTGGACTGTGGTTGATTCTTTAAGTTTGAATTTGATTTGATAATGCTCAAACATAATCACAAACTGGTTACTTCAAAAACCCTTCTCCAATTTTAAAAAGATATGCGGACTCGGTGTAAAAGAGACTTTAACTCCAGGACACAAACAATTAACAAATATATTTAGAGGACAACTTACAGTCATAAAAGATAGTCGCACATTATACGATATTTCAAACACTAAAAGGATAAAGTATACATAGTCTGTGAATAAATTATCAGAGACTACTAAAATTTGCTATCAGCATTCATTTCCTAGAATAAAATATAGCAGTCGGATATAAACGAACACAACCGCTTGGACAATAAAAAAAACACACTCAAATATTAACGAAAACAACGACTTGGACAATAAATCAACTCTGACATGAGTGAAAACAACAGCCGTTGACTGACACAGATAAATGGCGCCGAGTTGAAATAGTCACCCATATCCCATCCCTATTATAACGATAAAATTAGATAGAAGATTGCACTAGTATGAAGAATAGACGATTTTAGACGACCCTTTATTTTCCAGTTGAAAAATTTGAAATAAAATTCTTTTTACAAGGATGGACATTTTCAAATTACATGAATTAATCAACCCTTTCTTGTATGTTCTTAAAACTGAAAAAAATGCTTTGTTATATGCAACATCCAGGTTCCACCATAGGGAAAGCTTTTCACATAAAATTTAAAAATAAACTATTGGACTAGATGATCACGATGAGGACGTGGCGCAGCGAATGTTCTCTCCCTCGAGATTTGACTTTTTTTAAGCCAAACGGAAACATTTCTTACAACACTGTGGTCTTGGAATTACAAGAAAAGCCCCGTTATTTTTTTTATACTTGTATCTCTTTTCCACAGCTCTATTTGATTATATCTTGATCTTTTTCATATATAGTCATACAGAGTCTTATTTAATCTTTCCTACTAACAAAAAAAAAACAAAAAAAAAAAAAAAAATGATTCAAAATAATGACAATAGTTTAATAGTTTTAATGGATCAGATGGACTGAAAAAATCTACATGCTGTTAATATCTTGTGTATAAACACAAGTTCGTATATCAATTTTGTGTGTTGAATTTGAATTTTCAATACTAGTATTAGCTTAACTTTTGCATAGAATCATGCACTGCCGTCCGTGTTTATATATTGTTTTTCTTTGGTCAGTTTTCGTGTTTTGCCATGGCATTGTCAGTTTGATTTCAACTTGAGAGTTTGACTATCCCTTTGGTATCTTTCGCCTCTCTTTTTCTATGCAAGACTGGCCTTCATATAATTCAATGTGAAACAAGAAAGTGCACGACATGTTAACAAACATGACAAACAAAGGGTATGTGATAACGACAGCCACTATGCCAAAAGCTTCTTCCTGGCTTTTGAAAAGCTCAGTATATTTTGTAGGCGCTGATCCCCTCTTCTAACCTTGAACTGTCGGTGTCGTGTACCTGTATAACATTAGAACAAATAGCAAAAAACATTTGAAAAGAGTTTGACTTGTCAGAATTGGACCAAGCACAAAAAAAACCTAACACAATTACAAAAGACAAAAAGTAAATAAAAAAATGAAGGATAGGTAATTCAAAACACGATCTTTACTAAAAATAGAACATTTTTTCAAACATTGAATTGACAACAAAGTGGGACGCATGAACAATTAAGGCGGAGTATGAAAATGGTATGCCAAGATCAATTTTTAGAATGATCAATAAAAAATTCAGGGTATGATTTGGCTTTTTGCAGAAATTATTTGAAAAGATATTGTCGAAATTATTAATAACTTTAATATTTTGGTATTTTTAATACTAATGCAGTCAACATATGTTTACACCAACAGCAAATGGGTTAGTTTATCTAGAAAAATGTTGGGTAAAATAGTGCATTCAAAAACAGATATTCCCGAATTCGCCGGACCGACTTTATCTGCCGAGCTAGCCATCTAAATTTGAACAAACAGTTTTTATTGAATATATTTACAGAAATCAAACTGTGATACCAATTATCGAACGATTTGCAGTCTGTAATATTTCACATTGTGAAAATCGGTAAAAACTCAATGGTTTTACTGCAAAACGTTACCAGTAATTTCAAGTACCTGCCACTTTTATACGCATAAACGTCACACACAGCACCAGTTTTGATGACGTCATTCGGATGAACGTTACAATTTAAAAATAAAATAACAATTGTTTTTTTACAGTCAACCATGTGAACAAATTTCACTAAGTTAATTTGATAAATAAAGGCATACAAAGGTTATAATTGGAGTATAGCTTGTGGAAAAATTTGCATGTTACCTATAAAAAAATTGTTTTCAACCACAAAAATTCAAAATATATTTGTGACTTTTAGGGTTATTCTTGTATAACAGAACAAAGTCAGTTATTTTTCTTCAAACCTATTATGGTTTCGGCAGTAAAATGATGTTTTTATGTACGTGTTTAATGGTTTGTGGGTTCTGCTAAAAAGCGACAAAAATGTCGTTTTGGCGTGCTAGCGGTAAACGACAAAAATGTCGTTTTGGTGCCGAAAGGGTTAACAGCATACTACTCATTCAAGGTTATCTCAAATTTTAACTATTGTCAAACAATTTCCACTTCTGAAGCAAAAAACATTCTTAAAAAATGGAAAAATTCAAGAAAGAGTTCTTGGATTCATCTATGAAGATTATGATAGTTCTGATGAATCAAAGTGATCGAAATCACTCCTGGAAAGATTAGAAGAGTAGTTTGAATAATTTCAAATTATATGTAGGTATGGTGTGGACAATAAAAGAACATTAATATAGCACTATTGCAGAAAGTTGCATTAACTGCAAGTTTTTTTTTAGGATAAACACTTTTAAAGCAGATAAAATTAGCTAAATGTAAATCAATGACAGTGGGTCCCTTAATTTGCATAACAATTTTGTTTAAATTGCAATTTCTATCTTAGTCAAATTATGTTCTTTTTTACGTGTTTCACGTTTTACATTTATCTTTAGAAATAGAAGAAATTAAACTAAGATCTTTATT